ACGATCAGCCCAGCCTGTGATTTCTGCCCATGAGGAACCAGGTCCCTCCCTCCCTCCCTTTCCATGCCCCTTCCCCATCTTCTGAATGCCTTCTTGTTTTCGATTGGGGCCCTGGACCAGAACCTGCTTTTCAACTCAGCTGGCTCACCTTGGCAGGCAGCTGGATGAAAATGTAGGTCCTGCAGAAATATTTCTCCAAAACTTTTATACTCAGCATCATCCCAGTTTGCTCAAAACTGGACTCCTGCCGATTCACTGCCAGTGGCTTCCCTGTGTTGTTGTCCTCTTCCACGGCCTGAAAGTACAAGCCAGCCATTCTTAGAAGCAGACCCCCATCCCTGCAGGTGTCCTACTCAGTGGCAGGCGATGCGCTCCCCACAAATTAGAAGGAAAGTGGGCATGGAAGCAGCTCAGTGGGACAGGGATAGCTTTGTGGGACAGAGTCCTACTCCTGCCTTTGAGTCCCTGAAGGGCCCTGGGCCCCAAACGCACCACTCTTCCTTGTCTTCTCACCTGCTGGAGACAAAACAATGGGCCAGTTCCTTCCATCCAGCCCCCCTTGTGAACTTTCACAGAGCACAGCGGGTAAAAGGCGCCCCTGAGCTGAGGGACCGGCAAGTCCTCCCATTACTTTCCGCAGACCAGGAATGGCAGAGCTCGCCTTGCTGGGTGGCTCTCGTGAAGAACCTCACCAAGGCCGTCGGGGCCTTGGCAGTCGAGGAGCGCCGAGCGCAGAGGACAGGAGAGGGAAGCGCCAAGGCAGCCAAGTGCCGCTCTGACAACCAGAGGCAGATGGTCAGAGCGGCACGGGGCCCGTGGTCATTCCTGTTGGAGCCAGATCCCTGCATGGCGACCCTCGGAAAACCGGGGCTGCGCTTGATGAGGACGGCTGAGGAGCAGCTCCATGGAAGGAGGGGCAACCCAGTGGTTCTGGGGAGGGTAGACGAATGGGCCCGAGCGTCCCGGGTCTTGGGACATGGGCTCATCCGGAGGAAATGACTGGCAGGAGGGCTGCCAACAAAGGAAGAATCCGCTCCACCCAATTTGGGCTGGGCGCTGGGAAGGAAAAGGAACATTTCCACTTCCTGCACAGCATTCCTCATTTTTTAATTTTTCTGGCAGGGACGGGTGGCCTGCAGCCTAGAGCCCGGGCTGGGAGTTGTAGCCCGACACAGCTGGGGGGCCTGGGTCTCCCCTCCTCCTGAGGTTGCATGGGTAAACTGACAAGCCGCCCACGCCTTTGCCTTTCCTTCCCGGGAAGGCCCCAACCTGGCCGGGTGGGACTCCACCCCACAGCAGAGGAAGCAGCTGGCTCTCTTCTCAGCCCAGAAAGGCACCAGGCCCTTGCGGGAGTCCAGGGACCGTGGCAGCAGGACCAGGGAATTTGCTGCTGCCGGGCAGCCTCCCTTTCCCCATCCCCCGCCCCTTGCTGCAGGCCTCCTTTCTTTGCGCTGCCAACCTGGACGGTGGCCAAGGCCTGGAGCAGGCAGGAAGGGGGGAGGGGCCGTGATGGTGGGAGGGCAGGTGTGTTCTGCAGCTGGAGCAGAAGCCCCGGGCACAGATCCTTGGGCAAGGAAGCCGTCAGGAAGGAGGCCTTGCCAGCCTCCCTGAGAAGAGCCCCCGCTTGGCTCCTGATGCCACTGGTGGTCTTGCCGTGCTCTTTGGTGACCCTGCAGGAAGCCAGCCAGCCCGCCCAGCCGAGGGTTGGCACTGCAAGCTCCAAGGTAGACTTGGGGGGCAGTCAGGAGAAGACCCTTGGCAGTGGTCCCAGTTAGCTCAAGAGACGTTAGGCTCCCTTCGTTAAATGTGTCCAAATAGAGCACAGACTCCTCTAAGTTTGGGATGCTTTATTTGGGCTCTTCCGCCTAATAGGGAGTTGAACTCATGGCCTCCATGCCCACCCACATCCCGGGCCTCCAGAGCCCATAGTTTGTGTCTGTGGTTGCCAAGCCCTGCTGCCAGCTCCCTTCATTGCTCAGGTTTGGGTCCCTGCCTTGAAACCATCTCTCTGAGGCTGGATTGGAAGCCAGGCTCAAGTTGAGCTTGTCCTGCTGATCCCCGCTTGCAGGACCACCCCCCCCCCATTGTGGACAGCAGGGCTGCTAAGGGACGGGCTGGGTGGCTTTACCCAACGTGCAGCCGATGAGCCAGCAGGGGAGGGGGAGGGATTCCGTGGCCCTAAAACATCACAAGGGAATCATGAGCCGGGGCGGGGGCGGAGGGGGGTCTTTTCGCAGGCTGTGTGTGTGGTGTGCATGTGACACAGAGATGGGAGGACAGGACAGAGACTTGGCTATTGGTTGCGGCCCGAGAAGCAATATATCAGCAGTTGATGAGGCAATGGCTTGTTTTCTTAGGGTTGCCCCATCATGGTGTTTGGATACTAAGCAAGAGCTCATCTCCTTCCTTGAAAAATGGGGTGGCCACGTTGATCTGGATTTCCCAAATGCTGTTAGACTTGGAAGAGGAAGCTTTAAAAAGGTGGCATTGAGAGCTGTTGGAGAAATTGGGGGTCCCTGCAGCAAATGCCATTGCACTCGCCATGTGTCGGTCCCTGTTTCTAAAGATGGCCCTCAAGGGGGTGGCCCCCGACTCAGAGGTGTCATTCTGCATGCTGGCTGGTTCTCCATGCCTCCTCCATTTGGCCCTTCTGTTCTGGGCCCGAATCTTGGGGTCACAGGATGTTTGTCCTTGGGCACGCTTGGCAACTGGGCTGGGTGCTTTCAGAATGAAGTTCTCCTTTCTCGCCCGGCAGCCTTGTGGTGAGGCTCGTGTTTGCCTCCTGCCTTTGCCACGCGCCTTTTCCTCCCTCTGCCCCCCTTCGTCATAAATCTTGTGCTCCGAGTGTTGCAGCCCTGCTTGCTAGGTCACCCGGCATGGGCACAGGCCTGGACCTCTTCTCTGCCGCTCTCTCTGTGTCCACAGAAGTTCTGAAAGCGATGCCAGTTTTGGAAAGCATGGCGTTTGCATTCTTTCACACGCACCATTGACACTGCACGGCACTTGTGGTGAAGTGCCGGGTGGGACTCCCAGAGTGGCTGAGTCTTCACCGATCTTCCCAGCATCCAAGGGGCAAACGTTGTTAGGATGTTCACAGTCAGACTTCTGTGGGGAAGAGGAACATTATGCCCGAGAAGAACGTTGAGGCAGAACCTTGTACCCAGGGAGGATTGTGAAGTGTTTGGGAAGAATGGCATTCAGAGTGGGGGAATCCGGGCTAGGGGAGGAAAATAAGGAGACAGGGCTGTGAAATTGGACCCTGGGGTGGGATATTGGAAGGCTTGGGGGAAAAGACAGGAAAATCTGGAATGGCTTGGCACACTGACCCAACAGCGCTTAGGAAGAAGCTCCAGAAGGGACGGAATGGGGACCAAATATCCCCTTACCTTGAACTAGAGCTGAAGGAAATCTCGCCCACCCCTTCTCAGATGATGACTTGGAAGGATATTTCCGCAAGGTCTGAGTGGAGGGAATGGAGAAGATGCCAAAAATTTGGTGGGAGGTGGTGGCCATTTGGTGGTGGTATACTTCTTTGGCAGCCTCGATGCTTCAGAAAAACGGCCGTTCTCTCCCGGCAACGTCTGGCGTGATTTTAAAAAGAAAATGGAAGGCCTTTTCTGTCACTGCCAAATGGTAAACACGGAGGCTCTGCAAATTTATTCATTTTATTACATGTTCGTGTCATCCAATAACCAGAGGTCTCTGGGTAACGTTTAGATAAATTAAAAACATAAAATACAAGACAGCAAATGGTAAGAAAAACAGCAGCAGGAGTAAAAGCGATGCTGGCGTTCCTGAGCAAAATCCGCCAGAAAATCAGCCGGTGGGCTTCTCGGGAACCTCAGGAGGGTTCTCTGGCTGCTTGGAACGGCCTGCAGGGAAGTCGCCAGGGGAGCCTGCCTGGGGAGGGCCTGCCGAGAGGGAGCGCGGCCCCGAAAAGCCCCTCTTCTCTTGAGCCCGTTCACTCAGCAAAAATAAGGTAAAAGGGGGGGGGGAAGCTCACGAGCTCTAGGCTCTCCTCATTTTCCGGGAGAGCCTTGGATGAGCCCACCCAGTCCCTTCTATCGGGGCATTGATGCAGAGGGTGAACCAGACAGCACCTCTGGGGTTCTTTTCTGCGCTGGCATCGTGGCGAAAGGCCTGAGCTCTAGGGCAGAGGTGTCCTCCCCCGACAAAGAAAAACATTCCTTTCAGCATGAACTCACCGGGTATCTTTAGATCTGCTGTTTTTCCAGCCCTCACACTTCCCTTCCTAGGGAGGATCCTGGAATGCAAAGTGCATGGGGCCATTTAACTGTTGGGAAAGTGGCATCGAGGCAGTAAATTGTCGGCGTTTCCGTGAGTGGCAAAACAGCCGAAAGCGATTCCTCCCCCCCAGGGCCTTTCCTTCCTTCCGCTCGATGTGGGCAGGAAGCTGCCTGCGCTCAGGACTGGCTGTGGGGGGACCATGAATGACAGCCCTGAAGTGCCCCAGGCCTGTCTCCTGAACACCGTGTTCTGGGCACTGGGTTGGCCTCGAGGGCATCCTCTGCCCTTCAGAACACCCAAGAGGTTCTCTCAAGGCTGCTTTCACCTCTGATCATCGCGTGGAGGGAAACCAATGGAGTATGTTAAGAAGCCCATGTCCACCATCCAGGTTTGAACAGTCCAGTCCCCGAACCTCATGTGATATCTCAGAGGATCTGAGAGCACAGAGGGAGAAGTCCTCAGCCCCCTGCCCAGCGCTGAGTAGGGCTCTGAAGGTGCCCGCGTGGGACGCTTCAACGTCTCATTCCTGCACCATTAGCACATGGGAGGAGCTGTGTGCAGAGGGGGTGCTTGACACTCTCTGCTTCTGACAGCTGCACCCCAGCAAAGAGAGCCCCCCTCCCCAAAGAGTCTTGATCGAGGCCTCTTGCAGAAACTCAAGCGAGAGGGGTCCTCCGTGTGCCCTCCTGTTCGCCTCCCACCGTGATCCGAATCCCGTCTCGCCTCACCCTCCTTTTTCTTCTTCCTTCCAGGAGCGCTTTGTGGACCTCTACGGGAATGACGCGGCCGCCAAGAGCCGGAAAGGCCAGGAGCGCTTCAACAAGTGGCTCTGGACGGGGGCGACCGTGGCCGGCGTGGTCCTCCTCGGCTCCCTGCTGAGCCGCAAATAGCTAGAGACTGCCCACCTGCCCGTCTCGACCAGCCGGCCCTGCTCCAGCACTCTGACCTCGGCCTTGTAATCATTCCAGGGGGTGGGGAGGAGGGGTCTGCAGTGCCAGTCCCCACTCCGACCCCAGGCTCACCCCCCTCCACGCAACTCACAGACCTCTTTCTGGTGCCTCCTGCCCCCTCCCCCCAAGGCCTACAGTCCCTGGTCGAGGGACCGCTTCCCAGACCCCGCGCACACACCTCGGAGGGGGCGGCCTCTGATCCTCCCGTGTCCCCAGGAGGCTCCTCTGCTCGACTTCACGGCAAGGAGTCGCTGCAGTTGCAGTGGTGGTGAAAGCCGCTCCCTGCCCTGCTCTCCCACAGGCCAAGCCCTTGGGGGGGTTGCTTTGGGGAGGGGAGGGGAGGGGCTGCCGCCCAAGGCTTTGGCAAGGGAGGAAATGCCTCGCAGGCACCCCTCGCATGGCTTCCCCCAACTCACCGTTAACCTCAGACTTTCCTTATGCATCTCCCTGTGGGGAGCACCGCAACTCGGAAACACACTGACAACTACGCAGCCCGTGGGCGTGAATCCGGTGATTGTAGGGGATAGGGGCTCCTTCCAGGGGGCAGCACTTCACTAGGAGGAGAGGAAGAGGCAGGCGCCCCGTGCCTTGCAAAGCCTGTGCCCCGACTTCCTCTGCCCCAGAGCCCACCCTACCGGGTCCTGGCCGTGGCAGGGCGATTTGCTGACGCCCGGCTTGCTGTCTGCCCACGGGGGCCGGGGCTGCCCCTTCCAGCGCTGCGTCGGCGGCCGTGGCCTTGGCTTGCTAAGGACTCTCCGTGCCAGTGTGGGGGGAGCCCCAGGATGGCCAGTGGGAAAGAGGCGCCAGCTTCCAGTTTTCTTGGGAGGCCCGAGGAGCCTGCTGAGCCTCCCTGGCTCTGCCCATCTGGCCCCCGCGTGTGTGCCTGCAGTTGTGTGTCCTTGTTGGCCAGGAATGGTGGCTGGACCAGTTGCCGTTTCCCTCAGTGGCAGCCCCGGAACGGCCACGGGCCAGTCCCCTTGAGGCAGACCCTCAAGCCCATTTGCCCTGGGGGGGGATCCTGAATTCCCTGCCCCAGCGCTGGTGTTATCTGGGATGTGGCGGTGGTTCCCCTCCCTGACAGGCTGCGGAAAAGAGCAGGCGCATGGCAGGCTGTGGGGGGGTGGGGATGGGGGTCAGCTGTGCTGTGTTATCTGGAGCAGCCTCTGGAAGGTGTTTACCGTCAGCTGCTAATTGCAGTGTTGGCCCTCTGGGGACCCTCCCTGGCATTTGCCCAAGGAACTTCCAGGAAGAGCAGACCTCGGCGGTCCCTGCAAGGGGGGAAGAGGGGCTCCCTGTGCTGGGGAGAAAGGAGTGGGGCAGGAACGGGCAGGTCTGTGGTTTCTGAGGCTCTGCGGAGGAAGCCGGGGGTCAGAAGCTACTTTCTTGGCAGTCGGGGGGAGGACTATACTTTGGGGTTTTCTTGCAAGTGTTAGATCGTGGACAGAGTTGTGGGATCTGAGGATGTGGGAGGGGGCGGCATATCAGGTCTGTTGGAGTGAAGGGATAGTAGAGGAGACGTGTGGAGAGGGAAGGTTGCCAGGGTAGGGCAGAGGAACCAGCCTCCAAGCCGTGGGCAGAGCTGGAAGCGTGAGGAAGAGGCAGCGTCTGCGTCTCCCTTGGTCTCTGCAGCAGCCAAGGGCATGGGGCATTGTTGGGGAGAGGGCAGCCAGGTCTGTGTCTAGGGGGGGCTCCAGTCCAGCTTTCCTCAGCAAGGGGCCCCATTCCACCCCCTGCAAATTCAGATGACCCCCTTCCCCGGCCCAGCCCCCCCCCCCACAGAAAGACCAGGGAGTCCTTGCAGCTTGCCTGCCCCTTCCTGAAGATATACAAGATCAGCTGTATATATTGAAGAGTAGTTTTTATTCAGTTGTGAATACAATAATACTATTTTTGTTAACTGTATGTCTGTATTTATGTGTTTTGGCTGTGCTCTCCCTCTCCAGCCCTGCGCCCCCCTAATCCCCCTCTTGTGACCCAGCCCAAGCAATGGCAAAGGCAGCCTGACGGGGACCCAGCCCAGAGGGGGCCCAGCTCGCCCCCGCCAGTCCTTGGGGCCCAAGCTTGGATGTTGCGCCTTGAGTTTGCCCGCCCTCCCTTTGTGTTCAGGCTCACACAAGCCCATTATTAGAGAAGAGAAAAGAAGGTGGATTTGAAGGTGGAAGTTCGATCCTTAATAAAACTGTGGTGTTTGAGCGGTGCTTCCTGGTCTGGTTCTTGGGTCCTCTTCCTTTCTCAGGGCGAGCAGTGGGCTCTCCAAGGCCACTCCCTTGGCTCTCCGTGCAGAAGCGCTGGCTGGGCCAACTCTGGTTTCGTGGGTAATGGGGAAGGCCAGATGCAGCGGGGTTGGCAAAGGTAGAGGAACTCTGCAGGGGCCACGGGCAGTTCTCCCCAGCCCAGTGCTCCCCAGATGCTTTTAACTACAGCACCCCTCACCTCCAGCTTTGGGCCATGATAGCCAGAGAGAGTGGATGTTGTAGTCAATAGGCCTGGTGGGCGCCGGGTTGGGGGAGGCAGTTCTGTGGAATCGCCAACAGACGAGCACAAGCTGGTTACGCAAAGGGCCGTCTTGGGCTGCCTCTCCTCCCTGGAGCAGAAAAGAGATGTTTCCATCTTAAGCCCTGCGCTCAGACAGCAGGGAGCACCAGGATCTCAGCGCTCCTCTCGCCTCACGGAAGCCGAGGGCATTTGAGGCCCTCGAAGGGCTTGGAGCACCGAGTTAAGGCTCTGGAGAAGGTCTCCAGGTAGCTCTGCTAAGCTGCAGGGACATCTCATGTGGAGCTGCCGGTGAAAATTAGGGCAGAAGCATTTGGTTGCCCAAGCTCTTCTCTGCAGCTATTCCAGGAACGCGCACAGTCTGAACTCTTGCTTTATTCTGGGCAGAAAAGGCTCAAACAGCTTAAATGGGGCCAAGGAAACGTCTCGCGTCTTCTGTGGATGTGGGCAAAGGCACGTGGGTTGGATCCAGGCTGGGGAAGATGACCAAAAGGAAGGGTGGGAAGAAGGTCGTGCAGGAGGGAGGCCTGAACCTTCTTGTTTGCTCAACCTTACTTTGTCTTCTGAGTCCCCCAAGGAGTCAAGATCTTTCCCTGCCTTTCACTCTTCATAGGTGACTTTGGGGGAAGCGGGGACAGGGACCAAGGGAGGAGGGAGGCTGCATGTGCCAGCGTGGGTCAGACTTGCAGGTGCTCCATCAGGACACTGGGTTTGTAACCCAGAAAGCCACCCTGCCTCTCACCCTTGGGCACGAGGCACCCCACAGCCTTGGCCAAGTCACGCTGTTCCTGATAGTGGATCTCGAAAGGTTATTAAAAAGTTACAGCCTTGATTGGAGACCCTTGACGGGAAATGAAGCATGTGTGCATTAACAAATTGTACAGCTGGGATCCATGCAGGTGCAGAGGCCCCGTGCTTGCACGAAATGGACTGGCAAAGGACTCGGTGTCCATTCATGCCGGCTTGTCAAAAGGGACAAATAATCCCCACCTGAGCTTGCCCTCCACTGGACGACTCCAGAGATCAGGATTCTAATGGGCACCAAAGGGGGATGCGCTCCGAAGCCGGAAAGGGCCATTATTGGAGGTCTCATGTCTGTCTCGCGCTTGTGGTCAAGCTGGGCCGGGCACGCCTGGCACATCACAGGAGAGCGGCTTGACCTCTGGGCTCCCTCGCTTAAGAGTCTTCGGAGCAGCGTAAGAAAGATCCCAGCCTGGGGATGGCTGCTGGGTGACGGGAATTGCTCTGGCTGGGGGGCCAGAGGCGGCATCACTCTGGAGGAGGTTATGGGGGGGGGGCTCCATCACGTGTGCATAAAAGTGCAAATGGGCGCTCCCGCGTCCTTTCAGGTAAGTGGCGGGAGGTCTCCGATCTCTGCTCTCGCCCAAAACTGAACCGCGAGAAAGCCCGCGCGTTGCCGCAGAAGAGCGGATTTCCCGCATGCCTGTTTAAGCAAGCTTGGCAGGGAGCCTGGAACCCCGGCACATGGGGCCCGGCCCCCGTCGCGTCTGCATCCGAGAATCCCGCAACCGGCCTCGGCCCATCCCAAAGCACAAAGGCCCG